TTTGGTCCATATACTTTTCTGTGCTGAGTTCCTTTTGTTGTCAAAAGTTTCCTCACTTTTCTTCTTTATTGTTGGTTTTGTGCTTACTAAACACATGTTTTCCTTCCTTCTGGGCTTGTTTAGGGGGATTGTTAATTTTCTCTGTGGAATAAATTCTTTTCTGTATATTTTTGGAGCAGTCTATTCTATGAGGACATTGTCCTGTTTTCCTCTCCATTTGGAAGTTTGTACCTAGAACTTTTATTCCCTCTATTTGCTAGTTGCTGTTGTTGTGTGCAGGTTGACTCCCTTGTCTTTTAGTGTACAATGTTTTATGATCTCATTTTGAGCATCTATTTCTGATTTGGTTTTAGTGTTGATGTTATGTGTCCTGATTTTGTTATTCTCTGCTGTGGGTTCTCTATTGGAAGGACTTCCTTAAGCATTTCTTGTAGGGTTGGTTTGGTTTTCACAAAATTCCTTAATTTTTGTTTATCTGAGAATGTCTTGATATCACCTCATATTGGATGGACAGTATGGCTGGATATAGAATTCTTGGCTGGAAGTTCTTTTCCTTCAGTGTTTTATATATGCCATCCCATTGTCTTCTTGCCTGCATGGTTTCTGCTGAGTAATCAGAACTCAGTCTAGCTGTTTTATTATTATAAGTAATATTTCTTTTGTCCTGGGCAGCTTGCAAGATTGTTTCTTTGTCTTTGGTTTTGAGAGTTTGATTATGAATATGCCTCAGTGTTTTCCTCTTGGGATCTATCTTATATGATATTCTTTGAGCTTCTTGGACAAATATCTTTTTTTCCTTCATTATATGGAGGAAGTTTCCTATTAGTAAGTCTTTCACAATTTTCTCAGTGTTTTTTTGTTTTGTTTTGTTTTTCCTCTTCTTGTTCTGGAATTCCAGTGAGGCACATATTGTTTCTTTTCAGGTCATCCCATAAAACTCTTACGTTCTCTTCATTTCTCATAAATCTTTGTTCTGATTTTTCTTCATACAGGCTGGTGTCAAGGGATTTATCTTTCTAGTTGGGAAATGTGTTCTTCAGCCAGTTCTAGCCTATTCTTTGTGCTTCCACTGTGCTGTGTAATTCTGTAATTTTGGTATTCATCTTCTGGATTTCTAACTGTCATTTTTGTATGAGTTCTGATTGTGTATTAATCTTGTCATTTTGTTCTTGAATGGTTTTCCTGAGTTCTTCCAGCATACTGTCTGTGTTCTCCTTGATTCTGTTTGAAGTTTCCTTAAGCTCTTGTAGAGTTCTATAAACATACCTTTTAAATTCCTTCTCAGATAATTTTATTGCCTCCTCTTCCTCCATGTTTAATGAGACTTTTGTTTGGGATTTTATTTCTATTGTCTTATCCTGTTTGTTTGTTTGTTTGAGGTTTCCTGTTGTTTCCTAGACATTTTGAAGTTGTCTTTAACTGTAATTATGTATTGATTTGTTTTGTCTTGGTTTTATGATTTAATATTTTTGGAAAGGTGGAGCTGGTGTATTTTATTTTATTTTGGTTATTAATTCAAGTGTGCTGGGTTGCTCTGCAGTTTTCTTTGTGATGATGGAATCACTGGGTGGAATGTGGATGCAGGTCTCTGTTTTTTGTGAAGGGGGTTTAGGATTTGAGCTGGCAGGTGTTATGGTGGGTTAATATGGTTTTTCTACTGGATGAGGCAGAGGAGAGGCAGGGGGGGGGGGAGGCTCCGAGGTGCCAGTAGCCATTTCCAGAGCTTTGAGTAGGCTACTAATGATGACATTATACTGTTACTCACAGGCCTGCCACTCAAGTTCATCAAAGACCCCAATGGTTAGAGGGCTGCCACTTTCCACCAGGTTCAAACAGCTGCAAAAACCCCACGCTCCAGGCCCCTCCATGCTAAAAAGCTGTCCTAGAATAGCTGCTCTGATCCATGCCATGAGGTCATCCCAGGGCCCACCCACTTGCATCATGTTTCCCTCTCTGCTCCCAATTCAGCAGCACCCAGAACCGGGGGGAGGGGGGTCTCTGCTCCCTCCATGTGGTCCCAAGTTTACAGATAAAAGAGGCTGCTGAAGGTAGATCTGTGGAGTGACCACATGTCCTCTGGTGCATTCTCTCCACTGCCCCAGAGAGCCTTCGGATGCCCCATCTCACCAGCCAGTCAGTGCTCTGCAGGGCAAGTTCACCTGTTTTTATTCTTCTGGGTAATTACACAGCCCCTACCTCCTTTCTAATCCTACTCCCCTGAGTTTAGTGTACTCTGACTTAATGAGCTGTTCAGAGTGCCAGAATCCCCACTTCAAACTGCTGCACCTAGTTTTTCAGGAACTAAGATGCTAGAAGGAACTAATGTGTGTGCTGCAGGTAAGATGCCATCATTCCGTCAGCCAAGAGCCAACTTTTAAAGGTATGATAGAAAATCCAAGCCTCCTTAAGAGTAAGCAAAAGGAGCTCTGGTGGTGTAGTGGGTAAGGGACATGGCTGCTAACCAGAAGCTTGGTGGTTCAATCCTACCAGTTGCTCCATGAGAGAAAGATGAGGCAGTCTACTTCTGTAAAGATTTATAGTCTTGGAAACCCAGTGAGGGTCACTATGAGTCAGAATCAATTCAATGGCAGTGGGTTAGATTTTGGTTTAAGAACAAGAAAAATAGCCTAAGAAACAGTGTTCAGAGTTGAGGGAGGAGAACTTGGGAGAAATGAAGAGAGCTGCCCTGTTCTGTTCCCACTGGCATCTAGAGACTTCTGCAGAATTGGTAGACTCTATGCCAGCAGTTTGGAAGCAGGTGATTCTCGTCTGATTTGACCATTTTGTCAACAGTAGGTCAAAAGAGTTGCAAAATCTTAATATAGACAGCTTCCCCAACCCCCTCCTTTTTTTTTTTTTTTTTTAATGTTTTTAGCTTTTTCGCTTATTTCTTTCCCCCATATTCTTGAATCCAATTTCATCTCTCTTTCCTGTTCATGGTCCTTCCTTCCAGTGGCCATTTCTTAGCTCAGAATGCTACTCAGAAATAGAAGTTTTTGATCTCTGATCTAGTTCTTAGTATTAGAAACACATTTAGTCATACAAGTCATTTCAAAATTGATTCTATACCCAAAAATATCTGTGAAGATAATTTCCCACTACTGCTTTTTTATTTGTGGTTTTTCTTACACCTTACATGTGTAATTTATTATACACCAATTGTACCCTAAAAACATTACTTCAATAATATAAATTGTTTTATAATGAAAAGCATTTCCAAAAATCACCCTGTGCAATATGCTGAAAATAAAACATCAGTACTTTTAGGAGAAAAATAAATTAATAGAGTGCAGGGGCCAAACAGGATCATAGACTTTTGGGCTTGAAGGGTCTCTAGACATCATCTAACCCTGTGGTTGTGAGACTTGCAAAACTTTAAAAAACACCAGTGACTGAGCCCCACTCCCAAGATGTTAAATCAGAATCTCTGTGTACGACACCCTGGCATTGTCCTTTTTTTTTTTTTTTAATTGTGGAAAATATGTATGTAACAAAAATTTGCCATTTCAACATTTTTCACCTTGTGGTTTTGTTATTTTTTAAATTAACAACTTCAGCATCAGTAATCCACAGAAACTCACATTTCTTTGCTTTGGAGACTCCGTGAAGTCAAAATTTCTTAAAGGCAGAGACTTGTTTGTCACATCAGCTTTTGGTACATCCCTCTAGACCTCACTCCTGGACTGTGTCAGGGACATGCCAAAACTTGATCTCACTTTCTTGCCCTTTGTCTTTTCCAGTCCCTGCGGCTGTCACCAATCTAAAGATCACAGAGAATTCCACTAGACACCTGTCTTTCACTTGGACCACCTCAGAAGGAGAGCTCAACTGGTACAACATCTTTCTATACAACCCAGATCGAACTCTTCAGGAGAGAGCTCAAGTTGGCCCACAAGTCCAGAGCTTCACTTTCCAGAACTTGCTACAAGGCCGAATGTACAAAATGGTGATTGTAACTCATAGTGGAGAGTTGTCAAATGAGTCTTTCATATTTGGGCGAACAGGTAAGACCCAGAGCCAAATAATAAGGTATAGCAATTGTCACATTATTCATTGGGTTTTCCTTAATTTATCCTTACCTCCTTATTCTATTCAGTATGTAGCATTACATGAAATTTGTGACCTTCAGGCTTTTGGGCCTAAATCAGACCTATATATAAGAATAGCTTGTGGCAAGTTTTTGCATTGGTTTCTGCTCTTTAACCTCCACCTGCATGGTATCCCTCGGTGGCACAAACAGTTAAATGTTCAACTACTAACCAAAAAGTTGGTGATTGGTACCCACACAGAGGTGCCTCAGAAGAAAGGCCTAGAGATCTGCTTCCTCAGGTTCACAGCTTTGAAAACCCTGTGGAACTGTTGTACTCTACAGTGCGTGGAGTCACCCATATGACTCAACAATAATGGGTTTGGTTTTGGGTTTTTGTTAGCCTCATGAGGTTTGAGGAAAATGAACCTCAAATTAACCTCTCCTCACTGGCAAATGGTTCACGGAGGGCCGTAACCCACTATGGCTGGGTCCACATTATGCAGATTTCTACAGAAAATAGATGAAGTAGAGGGCAGGTTCAGAGGAGGGCAGCCACATATTGGGCAGATAAGGAACCACTGCTGAGAACTGGAAACATAGCACTAGTGACATGAAAACAAGAGTTCCACTGGACAACATTGTTGTTGTTGTTGTTACGTGCTCTCGAGTCAGACCTGACTCATAGCAACCCCTCCTTGGGTTTCCGAGGCAGTATCACTACACAGATTAGATTGCTCAGCCTTCCTTCTGAGGAGTGACTGGTGGGTGACATTATGCTGAGTAAAATAAGTCAATCACAGAAGAACAAACATTATGCTGAGTGAAATAAGTCAATCACAGAAGGACAAATATAATATTAGTTCATTATTGTAAAAAGTCAAGGAAAGGTTTATATATGGAAGGAAACTTTCTTTGTTAGTTACCAGGGCTGGGAGGAGAGGGAACACTAGAAAAAAAAAAAAAATGCATTGACCCATGTCACTTTAGTTTTGTGTATTTCACTGTACATAAATTATATTTCAATGAGAAAATATATTCCAATTAAAAAAGAAAGAAAGAAAGAAAAAGAAACTCAGAGTTCCAGGAAAATAAGAGAGAAAGCTCTCTGCACTGCAAATAAATCAAATTTACCCTTTTTCCTTAATTTGGGCTCTTCACTCTCATTTTCAAATCCTATTTTTTTTTTTCCTCTGATGTGACAGTAGTTTTTGGTGCTCCCCTGTCCAACCCAGACACTGGGCTCACTGCTGGGAATGACAGTGAGCAAGAGATAAGGCCCCTGACCTCCTAGAGCTCTATGTTGGAGTGAGAAGAAAGGGCAGGAGCAGATGATATTAAGCAGGCAGAATTTAAAAAGAAATTATTTCCTTCCTTCTATCAAGGCAATAGAAGCCCTGGTGGCACAGTGGTTAGGTGCTCGCTCAGCTATTAACCAAAAGGTCAGCAGTTCAAACCCACCAGCTGCTCAAACCCACCAGCTGCTCCCTGGTGGCAGTTCTACTCTGTCCTATAGGGTCCTTATGAATCAGAATTGACTCTACAGCTGTGGATGTAACAGAATGTGACTTGAAAGAAAAGATATTTTAGCTGAGACTGAAGGGGAGGGAAGCCATTGAAGAGTACATTCTGGACACACAACGGAAGTTCGCCGTTCTTCGGTATTTTGAAGGGAATGAAAAAGAGCAACAATAAGCCTAGACAATGTATGTTACCATTTCCCAGGCAACTGCCTCTGCAACTCTTCTGTTACCTGCTTGTTAATGTTTAAATTTCCTCTAGTAGGGTGCAATAGTCTTCGCTTTCCAAAAAATACCACAGAGCAGTTGGCAGCGTGACTACAAGACTGAATTTATTCAGTGGTAGCAGTACTATTAACTCTTCTTTTCTTCAGTGAGGTTGGTCCAATACAGATTTTGACAAGAAAGAGCATGAGAGAACTGAAAAAGTAAAGGATAATGAAGAGGAAGAAAAGAAACCCAGAGAGTTGTTGTGGGATGGTGGCCACTAGTGAGTTGGACCAGCCTAGAAGGGACTAGGATCTTTTATCAACTTTCCCAGGGCCTTTTCTAAGCTAACTTATAAACCACTTGCCCAGTAGTAATTAATAATTTATAAAGATTTCATTTTATATGTTTAGCAGAGCACAGGTAGCAAGCATACAAAAGTGACTAGCTATTTTGTTTTGTTTTATTTTAATTTACTTCACATGCCCCTAAATTTGTTGTTGATGTTAGATGCCATCAAATTGATTCTGACTCATACCAACCCTGTATACATCAGAATGAAACAATGTCTGGTCTGGTACCATCCCCACAATCTTTGCTATGTTTGAGCTCACTATAGCAGCCACTGTGTCAATCCATCACATCAGGAATCTTGCTCTTTCTTGCTGACCTTTCACTTTACCAAGGATGATGTCCTTTTCCAGGGACTGGTCCCTGCTGATAACATGAACCCTCAAAAGTAGCCTAAAGACAAGATCTGACTTTACCATGTGCCCTACTCACCTGTATACTGAAATTAGCTCATATTTTCACCTGTGGGCCCAAATACCTTTGTTCCTGTATTCTTCTCAATAAAGTTTTCCTTCCATTTAAGTCCCAGCCTCTGTGAGTAACCTCAAGGGGTCCAATTGGAACATGACAGACAGCCTGTGGTTCAACTGGAGTCCAGCCTCTGGGGACTTTGACTTTTATGAGCTGATCCTCTACAACCCCAATGGCACTAAGAAGGAAAGCTGGAAAGATAAGCACCTGACCGAGTGGCGTTTTCATCGCCTAATTCCCGGAAGGAAGTACACACTGTGTGTGGTGACTCACAGTGGAGATCTCACCAATAAGGTCACAGGGGAGAGCAGAACAGGTAAGACAACTCAGTGGCCAGTAATCAAATGTTGGTAGGAAGTACCTTCCAAAGACACATTTTAATTATTATTTTGTTATTATTATTGTTGTTGTTGTTATGTGCCATCGAGTCATAGAGACCCCTCCTTGGGTTTCCGAGGCAGAGTCACTACAGAAGTAGATTGCACCATCTTACTTCCGAGGAGTGGCTGGTGGGTTTGAACTGCCAGCCTCCTGGTTAGCAGTCAAGTACCTTAGCCACCATGCTACCAGAGATAAACAATGACATGCTGTAAGCTAGCCCTGAACTTGGGAAAGCAGGAGGGCAAAGTGAATAAAGGACGCAGATTTTGTTAAAAAACATCTAGGTCCTTAGCTCAGTCCTGCCATATACCTGTGTGATGCTGGTATATTGTGAAGTTATTGAGCATCTCCAAGCCTCAGTGTTCTCACCTATAAACTAGGGACAATTATACCCATTATCTTGTGTTGTTATGGGCGTGTTTCCTAATCATTTTTGTATCTTGGGCATGCATAGAATATATTAATATCTGTATTCTGTACTGTATTCTGCAATGAACAAGGCAGGGACAAAACTGCTTGTGAACTCCAACTCTGTCACCACCAAATCTAATGGAATCAATACCTTCACACCATGTTTGGTTAGAAGAATTAAAGACAAAGTATATAAAGTACTTGAGGACAGTCCCTTACAAATAGTAAACACTCTACAAATGGAAGCTCTTATTATCATTGTATTATCTCTTCCTACAAAGTACACTAACAGTATCTCTGATGTCACTCAGCCATCCTTATTTTTCTATGTTATGATATGGATGTAATGTTTCCCTTTTTCCTACATATAGCGCCAAGTCCTCCCAGTCTTATGTCATTTGCTGATGTTGCAAACACTTCCCTGGCGATCACCTGGAAGGGGCCTCCAGACTGGACAGACTATGATGACTTTGAGGTGCAGTGGTTCCCCAGAGATGCACTCATTATCTTCAACCCCTACAGCAGTAGAAAATCAGAAGGACGCATCGTATATGGTCTTCGTCCAGGAAGATCCTATCAATTCAGTGTCAGGACTGTCAGTGGTGATTCCTGGAAAACCTACAGCAAACCAATTTTTGGATCCGTGAGGACAAGTATGACATGCTTTACCACTCTTGAGTTTCAGATAGAGTAGATAGGAAGTACATGTTGCAGCATCTTATTCTGATGGGGCTTGGTTTAAATCCACATTTTTGCTTGGGTTGGTTGGATTTGTATTCAGATAGAAGCCTATAGAGACTGGCTCATTCATTCACTATTAACAATAATTAACACTACAGAAATAATCTCTGTCCTCATGGAATTTACAATCAGGGGGAAAATTCTATAACTAAACAGATAATTGCGTTTGGGATGTGATGTAGGAAGTAAATGATACTATAGAAACACATGGTAGAAGTATCTAATTGAATACAAGAGGACTTCCTGGATACATCCAAATCAAAACATAAAGAAAGAGTAGAATTCACCAAGTGGAAGCAGGAAGAGGAATGGAGAATAATCTAGTGGGGAGAATAAAATATTTCAAGACCCAGGGAGGAGAGAAAGATCTCTTACTAGAGGAACAGAAAGAAGTTTAATTGGCCAGAGATGGGGCACAGAGATTGAGTAACTTGTCTAAAAATTCATTGCAAAAATGAATAGTTGGAACAAAAGAATGCATAGTAAGTGGAATTTGAATCCAGGCAGGCCCAAGCCGTACTTTTAACTTCTATACTACTCTGTTCCACCTTCTTTCTGACTTCTGCCATTTGATTTCAGTCCCCGTAAGTGCATTTGTGTTTCCAATCAGATTGGCACCTGGTGATTATCTGAAATGACAACATTTTATCTTCTAATGTTGTGTTTCTCCAAGTGGGGTCTGGCAGGCAGAAATTCCCTTGAGAATGTTTCCTTGAAAAACAATCCAAATAACATTTGAGGATTGTTTGTTTAGAACTCAGAGCTAGTTGGACCACAGGAGCTGAAAGGATTCTGTTTCTCGGAGTTCTGAAATTTTCTTCCTCTCTCTTTCTCTTAGAGCCAGACAAGATTCAAAACCTGCATTGCCGGCCTCAGAACTCAACTGCCATTGCCTGTTCCTGGATCCCTCCAGATTCTGACTTCGATGGGTACAACATTGAGTGCCGGAAAATGGACACTCAAGAAGTTGAGTTTTCCAGAAAGCTGGAGAAAGAAAAATCTCTGCTCAACATCATGATGCTAGTGCCCCATAAGAGGTACCTGGTGTCCATTAAGGTGCAGTCTGCCGGCATGACCAGTGAAGTGGTTGAAGACAGCACCATCACAATGATAGACCGTAAGTGTCCCTGGAGGTCTACATCAAGCCTCTTGTATGTGGAGTAGAGAGACTTTCACCCCTCTTACAGGTTCAACTCGATGGCAGTGAGTTTGATTTTTTTGGTTTATAGTATCCATCACCATTGTCCACTTGGATACAGTTCCCTTTCACATTAGCAGGTCTTGTTACCCCTTGGAGAAGATGACCTAAAATCTTCCATGAGATAAAAACATTTCTTTCTGTAAAGTACCCTGGCAGCAAACAAGTTAAATGATCTTAAAGTACTGAATGAGTTAGTATTTAAATACATCACTTTGCCTGATATACTTAGAGCTATAATGGAGCTTTTAAGCAGTTTGAAGCAACAACTTCAGGAAATCCTGCTGAGGAGTTGCTTCTTTCATTATGCTTAATGTGCCACTGGCAAGTCACTGCCTCTTCCTGCTTCCCTTCAGGAGAGGAGGAGGAGGATTCTTGATTGCAAGTGTTAGACACACACACACATACACTCTCTCTATCTGATGTAGGTGAGTGGAGATTTTCATTTCATTGACTGTTGTTTAAGATGTGAAAACAGAGTTGTGAACTTTCTTGGTCCCTTCCCCACCCCCTGTTCCAGGCCCTCCTCCTCCACCTCCACATATTCGTGTGAATAAAAAGGATGTGCTGATTAGCCAATCTTCCATCAACTTCACTTTCAACTGCAGCTGGTTCAGCGACACCAACGGAGCTGTGAAATACTTCACGGTGGTGGTGAGAGAAGCTGATGGTAAGTTTTCATGAATTGGCTCTGCTGCTAGACATAGGACTGCTTTCTCAAGGACTGCATTGCAAATTCTTAGGAGTAGAAAATTGTATATCATTCAGATCTGTCTCTGCTGGAAGCAGAGAGATGTAACAGGAAATTCTTCAAAGGCTCTTCTGGTAAAAAAGCATTATCCACTGGGTTTAATTATTAAATGAGAGAATAATAGTAACAACTGCAGCAATAACAATAACCATCAGTTATTGAGTCCTAACTATGTGCCAGACACTGTTTGAAGTTCATTGCATATACTCATTCAACCCTCACAACAACCCCCTGAAGATAATTCCAAATTTATGAATCATGACATAATGTACAAAAAGGAAGGAGCTCTGGAGGCATGGTGCCCACCACCCATTCCACAGAAGGAAAACTAGGCAATCTATTTCCGTAGAGATTTACAGCCTCAGAAACCCTAAGGGGGTCACTGTGAGTTGGAATCGACTTGAAGGCAGTGAGTGGCTTTTTGGTTTGTTTGTTTTATATTTCTGGTACAAAAAAAGGTTAAGTGACATGCTCAAGGTCACAAAGCTAGGAGGCAGAGGACTGGACACTAGGCAGTTGGATTTGGATGTATGTGCCCTTAAGGCCTGGCCATTTGGTTAGCAGTCAGATGCCTTAGGCACTACACCACCAGAACTCCTATTTGATTCAAAGTTTATACAAATAAAATTAGTCTCTGTATTGGGGTCCCCTGATTTGATGCCAAATGGGAGCAATATGAGCTATTCACTACTTTTTTGTCTTACCGTTAAGCACCAACTACATTTCATTCTTTGTCCTTCATCTCCCTTCTCAAATACAGCAATTAAGCACACAGTCCCAAACTACTCAGCAGTTCATAAAAATATTCACAAGCTTGAAAGAAGCAAAAGAGGATCGTGAAAAGCATTCTTCCTTTCTTTCTCTACTGAATTTTGAGTAGTTTCCTCTGCTAGTTTCCTAAATTATTCAACATCTAATTCCTATGGACTGGGCAAATGCTAAGTATGGGAACATTCCGTTGCAACCTCTGAACATGCCCTTTAGAGCTTATTGTATCAGCATTTGTCAAACCACTTTCAGGAGTGGTGTTGTGGTTGGGGACACACATGCCTATAAACATATTTGCCACTGAGGTCTTGTGCATTATGTCACCCAAGGAGACACTGTGTCTGGAATGACATTAATATGTTTCACATTCTTTATAACCAACCCATTGCTGTCGAGTCAAATCTGACTCATAGTGACCCCTGCTTGGGGAAGTAGATTGCCCAACCTTCCTTCTGAGGAGTGGCTGGTGGGTTTGAACCTCCAGCCTTCTGGTTAGCAGTCAAATGCCTTAGGCACTACGCCGTATTTTCTAAAATTGTTGAAGCTGTTATACATGAGTTTCTTAAGCATGTCTGATTATTTCAACCCATTTGTGGGCAAAGAGGAAACTTCAAACCTGACCACAGCTGGAACAATTTCTAGACAAAGTAGGATATTAGTTTCACTGGGAATCTAACAGTCTATGTACTTTTACATTCTATTTAATTTTACCAAAGCTGATTACGCATAATTAATTAGATTATTTCGAGGGTCAGTGGTGCATCCCAGATTTCCTCACACCTCATAATTATAGACAAATTGGTGAACTGTAGAAAGTGTTTAGATTTAATTAGGCTGTGATGGAGATTGTTTTACTACAATATCTATACTGTATATGTAATAGAAGGCAGTGGCAAAAAAAAAAAAAAGCATGCCTCAGAAAGTAGCCTTGTGTTCCCCAGCCAGGTTTCAGGGTCAATTATCAATGCTCCCTGGTCATCCAAGATAATAATCCATCTCATATAAATGCCATTGATAGCACATATGCTCATCCTAAAAAGGTAAAATTCTTTTTCAACTACTACCAAAAAATAACATTTCCAAGTATGTGGAAAATCAAACCTCACATCTCACTTTTCTAACACTGAACTGTAAAGATCCCTTTGATGAATGAATTAATGAATTCTGTTCTCCTCTATTCTGGCACCAGCTACACATGAAGCATTTCTTCCTCTGACCCTAACTACCCACAGCTAGGTCAGATCTCACTACTTAAAGGGCACAGTCCCCCAGACCTCCAAGTCTGCCCAAGACCTCAGACACCAGTGCTGGCTTGGGTACCATGACACCTTCACTTCTGACCTGCTGGCTACAAATTTCTGGGGTTTCCTACTACTTCTTCAGGACAACACCATAAGCTCAGGAATCCCAAGGGCCCCCTCACTTCTTTTATTATTATTATTATTATTGTGATTTCGGTGAAAGGTTACAGAGCAAATTCATTTTCCATGCAGCGGTTCATACACATTTTGTTTCATGACACTGACTGCCATTCCCCACAATGTAACAGGTCTCTTCCAACTTCCTTCTTATAGTTACCTCTTCCCTGTGTCCTTTCCTATGCACTCCTGTACCCTGAGCTGTCTCACTGTGCAAACACTGCCCTTCTGTTTCCCCACAATTGATCACTTTAAGGAGTGTATCTACCTGATATAAATGTTCACCCTACCTGATATAAATGTTCACCCTATATGCCTGCTATTGTTTGGCTGGAAGCTATAGGAGTGAGTTCGGTTCTAGACCTGAGGGGTAGCTAGGGGCCATAGTCTCAGGGGTCTCACTGGGTTCTATCAGACCGGTAAACCTGATCTTTTTTTTTTTTTTTTTTCATGATTTTGAGCCACATTGTTCTCCCACTCTATCCAGGATCTCTTGCACTCCCTTTCTAAGTGGTTGACAGGGTAGCTGGACACCATTTAGTTCTTCTGGTCTCATGGTCATATTCATATAGGCTGAAGACTGCATGGTCTACTAGTCCCTTGGACTAATTGTTTCCATGCATCTTTGGTTTTCTTCATTCTTCTTTGCTCTGGATGAGAAGAGACCCGTCATTGCATCTAGATGGCCACTTGCAAGCTTTTAAGACCCCAGTCATACTCACCAAAGCAGAATGTAGAACAATGTTTTTGTGTAGTATGTTATGCCAATTGAGCTTGATGTCCCTTACGATCATGGTCCTGAGCCCACAGATCCAACTACTTGGTCCCTCACGGTGTTGGCTGTAGGGCTCCCTCACTTCTAACCTGCTGACTCCCATTACTCTTGGGGGTTCAGTAATTCTCTAGAATGACTTCTGAACTCATAGAAAGTGCTATTAGAGTTTAACTTACTGTTAGAGTTTTATTATAGCAAAAAGGATACAAATGAAGAGATCCATAGGGCAAGGTCTGGGAGAGTTCCCAACTTAGAGCTTCTGTGTCCCAAAAAGGGGCATGCTACCCTCCTATGTGCATTGATGTCTGTCATCAACCAGGAGGCCCATGGAGCTTCTATGTCCATAGTCATTATTGAGCCTCATTATGTAGACATGACTGATTGACTCATGCCCCACCCACAAAAAGGTTGGCTGAAAGAAAAAGTGGTCCTTCTGACCTGGCCAGTCCCCACCCAAGAGGCACCTCATTGGTATAAAACCTCAGGTGTGGTCTGGAGGCCTCGTCAGAAATACTTTAACATTAGGGAAATTCCAAGGCTTTAGAGGTTATCTCTCAGGAACCAAGGGTAATGACCAAATTCTTTGGGTAAAGTTAATATAAAACCCATACCAAGACTTACTCATTTGAACAAGTTTTATTAAACAAGAGTCCAAAATGCTACAATGCATCCCCACAGTACCATTCCTTGAAATTCATTGTAACTGGTATCTTATCTCTGTAATACTTATCGTCCTAATTGTGCTTTCCTCCAGCTAACATCAAAACTAGTTAACAGTGCCAAAATACACATTGGGCTAAGTGGATGGTGGAAGAGTTCTGAGAATTTCTGAGCGATGGGCCGAATTCAAGCCAGAATAAAGTTGTACTCAGGATAACAGAGAACTGTACACAGAGCAATTATCAGATTGGGCATGTGGAACGTGCCTTGTGGGACAGAATGCTGTGGCCTGGGACATGGCTTTTCTTATCTTTTCCCTATTTCCCAGGTCATAGAGATTTCCTTATTAGCTCAGCTACAATGGTTATTGGCAAGGTAGGTAGCTTATTGAGCTTATTGGACTCTCACAATGGGGAGTGTCCAACTGTCTGGAGTTATGGTGTGTGTTACCATTTGTTTGATGCAATGAGCTGCCCTCCTACACACACATGTATACATACCACACATTTTATTTCCTAGAAAATTATATTGGCATGGGGGGAGTCAGGTGCCATTGACTCTATTTCAACTCATAGAAACTCCATGTGTTACAGAGAACTTCCCTGTAGAGTTTTCTAGGCTGTAATCTTTATGGGAAGGAGCTCTGGCAGTGTAGTGGTTAAGGCATTTGACCGCTAACTAAAAGGTCAGTGGTTGAACCCACCAGCTTCTCCGCAGTAGAAAGATGAGGCAGTCTGCTTCTGTAAAGATTTACAGTCTTGGAAACCCAGTGGGGGTCACTCTGAATTGGGATCGACTCAATAGCAGTGAGTGGTGGTGTTGGTGGAATCTTTACAGGAGTAGATCACCAAGTCTTTCTCCCGTGGAGCCACTAGGTGGGTTCAAACTGCCAGCCTTTTAGTTAGCAGCTGAGTGATTAGCCGTTGTGCCACCAGGGCTTCTTGTGTGTGTGTGTGTTGTGTATGTGTATAAATGAAAATTTATTTCATTAAAGAAATTTCACCCACCCACTAAAACCCACTGCCATTAAGTCATTTCCAACTCATAGTGACCTCCGTAGGATTTCCAAGGCTGTAAATCTTTATGGGTCAAACTGTCAACCTTTTGGTTAGTAGCCAGTGTCTTAACCACAGTACCACCAGAGCTTCCTTTAAATCCTTATGGAAGCTGACTGCCTGCCTCATCTGTCTCCCTGAAGTGCCTACTGGGGTCAAACCAGTGACTTTTTGGTTAGCAACCAAATAATTTAACCACTGTACCACCAGAGCTCTTCAGAGGAATTTCACAGCATCCCTTAATATCACAGAGCCACTCTGGGATAAGCCAGAGATAGTAAGAAAGAGGCAGCTTTAGAAACCTAGTTAGAAATCACTGAAGCACTAAGGTCATAAGAAAGGCTGTGACTGGGTTTTCTCTCTCCAGGCAGTGACGAGCTGAAGCCAGAACAACAGCACCCTCTGCCTTCCTACCTGGAGTACAGACACAATGCCTCCATTCAAGTGTATCAGACCAATTATTTTGCAAGCAAATGTGCTGAAAGTCCTGACAGCAACTACAAGAGTTTTAACATTAAGCTTGGAGCAGAGATGGAGAGCCTGGGTGGAAAATGTGATCCCGATCAGCAAAAATTTTGTGATGGACCGCTGAAGCCGCGCACTGCCTACAGGTTAGACGTATTGCCATCAGTTTGTTAGAGGGGATATGCTACATCACCAGGCATTTGGCTGTCTGGCCATCTCATGCATGTGAGCGCCTGTAGATTAATAATGTAAATCCACAGACAATGTGTGAAGAGGGCTTTCAGTATATAACAAAAGCTCCAATTTATTAGGGGAAGAGTTGCTTGAAGATTCTTAATCAAGTGCTCTTTCTCCTATGACTTCTTTAATACAAATCAAACATGTTAACTGCTTCAGGAATGCCTGAAAAAGACTGGGTTTAGGGATACCCAAGCAATATTAGGTTTTATCTTCTGCTTTTAGTAAGGACTAGAATTACAAAGGCGTTCTGGTGGCATTTGACTGCTAGCTAGAAGGATGGTGAACCAAATCCACCAGCAACTCCATGAAAGGAAGATGGGGCAATATACCTCCATAAAGATTTGCCACCTTGGAAACCCAATGGGGGTTGCTATGAGTTGGAATTGACCTGATAGCAGTAGGTGTTTTGGGTTTAGAATTACATTTACTGATTTAACTTCTAAGGCATTTAAAAAAAAAAAAAAGTGCTCTGTGGTCCATATGCAGCTCTTAGAGGGAAAGGACTCCTGAATGAATGAAGGCATCCATTCTTCCCACTAAGATGGTGAAAAGGAGCAGCTATTTGGCTTAAACCCACCCCAGCTAGCACCACTGAATGCAGAAGGCCCTTCCGGCGCAAGGAATTGGCGGTATTCTTAGTCTGTACTGTGTTCCCAGAAAACAGGCACAACAGAAATATACAACATTCCTAAATAGGGTCCACAAGAGAAAGAACCTGGCTACTATACAGGAGGGAGCTCTGATGGCATAGTGCCTAAGGCATTTGACTGCTAACCAGAAGGCTGGTGGTTCAAACCCACTCCTGGGAAGGAAGATTGGGCAATCTACTTCCATACAGGTACTGCCTCAGAAACCCAAGGAGGGTCTCCATGAGTCGAGTTGACTTGACATCAGTGAATTTGTTGTTTTTTTGTTGTTGTTGTTTGTTTGTTTGTTTGTTTGTTTTACTGTCTTGGATATAAACCTGTAGGCATTCAAGATTATCACTTCTGTGGAGGATGTGCCTTCTCTGTTGGGTGCCGACAGAGCTAGTATCCAACATCACAGCCAATCAGGTTCTCTTTGAACTGGTGTCCCTTCTGATTTGCCATTACGTAGGTCTTACTGGTGGCATAGTGCCTAAGGCATTTGACTGCTAATCAGAGGGCTGGAGGTTCAAACTCACCAGCCGAAGGTTGGACAATCTACTTCCATAGAGATATGGCCTCAAAAACCCAAGGAGAGGTCACTGTGAGTTGGAACCAACTCAACGGCAGTGAGTTTGGTTTGGTTTGGTTTTAGGCCTTACTGACTCTTAAGTACTCTGACCCTTTGGTCTCACCATAAAAACTTTTCTGTCAGATCCATAAAGGGTCTGTGACAGGTCACCACACCTGAAATAGTTCATAGTCCCTCTTTCATAGCAACAAAGATAGGCACATGCATTTACTAAAACAAACAACTCATTTTTGGCAGGAACTCTAAAGAACTGTCTGTGCCCTGGACTCCCCACAAACTTGCTATTGCCATGCCAGCTGAGGGTAGCACCTTCAGAGTAAGCACTCTTTAACTTATTAGTGATGTTTACTTCAAAAAGGTCCATATACACCTACGTCCTGGGGGAAAAAAAAGTTGTTACCATAGAACTTTGCTCCACAGGGTTTTCAAGGGCTGATTTTCCAGAAGCAGATCACCAGGCCTTTCTTCCAGTGCAACTCTGGGTGGACTTGAACCTGCAACCTTTCAGTTCCCAGCTGAGCACATTACCTGTTTGCTCCACCCAGGGATATTGGTTTTCTGTAACCTGAAGGAGGTGAGAGCTCTGACAGAGCAAAGGAGAAAACATAGAGATCAGAAAATTGGGATCCTTAAGCTTCTGTAAAAATCTAAATCACCCAGCTTGTTACTTGGGCTCAAAGAAACTTGAACAAAAGTCTCTGACAGGCAACTTTATCTTTCTGAGTTAGAAAGTGAAAGCTATTTTAGTTAGTTTGTTTGCTTGGTTGCTTTTGGAGAGGGAAATAGAGAAAATGACTCTTTGCTGTATTTAGAGAGAAAGAAGCTATAAAATGTTTCCATCTGGCCCGGAGCCCACCAGTCTCTCAGCAGGCACCCTTCCTGTCCCCAACAGCTGCCCAAGTCCGATGGAGAGCATCTGGATTTGAGTTCTAGCTCTGGCGCTTTTTAGCTGTGTAACCTTGTAAACAGCATTTCCATTCTCTAATGCTCACTTCTTGTATCTGCAAAATATTACAGGGTTGTCCTGAGTAGTAACGTATGTGATAGATCAAACCCTTTGTCACGCACTTTGTAGATTAAGAGTTTCCAGGGATTCCCGTGCACTTACAGGAGCAAGTCCTGATTCCTTAGCAGGATACACAAAGCCCGTGAGCTCTCCATTCTGCCACCCTTACTCACCTTGTATCCTACCATCTGCCCCAAGCAATCCCTGCCTTTTTGCTATTCTTCACTCCTCAGAGTTCCCTGGAAGATAAGGTGGCTTTCTTATACCTTTGAGTGTTTGCATATTCTTTTCTTTCTATATGGGATGCCCTCTGGCTGGTAAATTGCTTCTTACACTTTAAAAGTCAGCTCAGCCCTCGTCAAGCCCAACACCACATCTGCCCATGCACAGCCAGGCACTTGGGTGCTCCCTCAGCTCCATTTTCATAGCACCCAACCACCATATCCTTCTAATGCTGCATTTACCAGTGCCTTTCAAACCTTTGTTTACTTGCCTGCCCCTTCCCCTCCACTGAGACAGCTCATAGTCTAATAGGAGGAACAGGCTTGTCATTGGTTACAAAACAATATGTCAAGTAGCTGGTACAAAAGAGGCTTTCGTTAAGTGTTGTATGAACAAATAAGAAAATGAGCCAAGATGTTCTATGAAAAATTACACATTCTTATTATACCTTTATCAACTCATGTCATACATATTTGTTTTCTAGAACACAGCCTTCCTGTATTTCTCTAATATATGTGCTGTTAAAAGCATGCCAGGCAGATAATACTTGAGAAGAGGAGATGTACCCTTTGCAAGCACATGAGAGAACAACATGCTAAGTGGCCTCTTGTGTGGTGGCTGCTGAACTTGCTCAGTGCAATCAGAATGCTATCTGGCTCAAGAGGATAATCACAGCGATTCTCACAGCTATCAGCATCCTTTTTTCAAAAAGAATAGGTAGGCAGGACAGAACATGGACAAAGAAAATCAGTATTGAAAAAAATGGGAAGAGCTAGGTTTAGCTGATAACACAGGTTTATTATGTTCAACAAATGTAATGTTTTTCCATCCATTGCTGGGTTCCTATTATCCACTGTTCCATATGGAAAGAAAAGGGGCAGACCATGATGGGTGAGAAGCAGTTTGGAAATTAGGAAAGTGCTGATCTGGTTTTGTTTCTACTCTATAGGATAGCAATGTGACCACAATCAGGCAGGCAGCTTCTCCTGACCTCATTTTCCTTGAATAAAGGAAATCCAACCACATCATCTCTAACTTTCTACTATAGAATCTGGTTCTGTAATTATTATCAAGTAGATAGATACCTGTTCATTAAAATACTGTTTATCAAGCTGCTGATATATATATCCAATACATGTTTTATCGCCTTCTCTGGAAAGCACTGAGCCAGGTGCTATAGGTGATAAAAAGATAAATGAGACCCCCACCTTCAGGAGCATGTAATGTAGTGAGAGAAAGATGTGTGTATGCAAAATATAGGCAGAAATATGAAGGACATAACAGGGTACAGGTAAATAAATTCTATGAGGTTCAGAAGGCTTCTTAGAGGAGGTATCATTTTAGCTAGGCATCAAAAGCAGAGAAGGCCTAGGTCTATAACCAAAAGAATTGAAAAAAAAACAAAAAACACAAATACATACTGTACACCAGTGTCCACTGCAGCACTATTCACAATAGCCAAAAGGTGGAAACAACCCAAGTGTCCATCAATAGATGAATGGGTAAACGAAATGTGGTATACCCATACAATGGAATATAACGCAGTCCCAAAAAAGAAATAAAGTCTTTATACATACTACAACATGGGCGAGCCTGGAAAATATTATGCTAAATAAAGTGATCAGGCACAAAAGGATAGAAAATGTATTTTCCCGCTTATATGAAATACCTTGAATAGGCAAGTATATAGAGCTCTAAGTTTACTAGTGGTTACGAGGGGCAGGTAAGAGGGAGGGGAAAAGAAGACACAGTGTTTAGGGGATACTGAGCTTCTGTTAAGAATTATGGGCAGATTTGGGAACAGGTAAGGTTGGGTGGAACAACAAGGTGGACATAATTATTGTCTCTGAATTAGACATGTGAAGATTGTTGAAATGGCAAATGTTTTGTTACATATATATTGATCACAGTGAAAAACTATCTGAGTAGTATGAAAGGATTTGGAAATATGGAGAAGAATACAAGAGGAGATTCAAGGTGAAGAGAAACATGTGAGTCAAAGTGTGGAGGCAGAAACGCACAGATTAATTAGAGAAGAGCAGATAGTCTGATGTGAATCAGGGTGCATGAAAAGGGCTAGTGGGAAAGACAAGACCAGGAAGATAGGATGGGACAGGATTGTGGATGGGTACTAAATACTAAGCTATGGAATGTGTTTATAGTATCTTTTTTTTTTTTTTTTTAAAGGCTTTAAGGACAGTTTCTGATGGCCCACCAATTTTAAGCCAAGCCTATGCTAGGTCATAGGAGATCTGGTAGCATAGTGCCTAAGGCACTTGACTGTTAACTTGAAGGCTGGCGGTTCAAACCCACCAGCCACTCCTTGGAAGGAAGGTTGGGCAATCTACTTCCATAGTGATACTGCCTCGGCAACCCAAGGAGGGGTCGCTAGGAGTTGGGTCCGACTCGACAGCACATAACAACAACAACAACATGCTAGGTCATTATCTCTTTCCTTAGTTCCTGAAAGTTCTTATTGGTCTGAATCTATTTTGTACTGCAGATTTGCACCTTTGAGTCCTAGAGTTTCAGAGAAGAGCAAATCAAGGTTATTATATCCAATGCTTTTATTTTACAGGTGAGGAAACTGAGGCATAAAGAGCTTTAGGGACTGTCTCAGAGTTCACTAGAGAAACAGAAGCAGTGAGATTATACATACATGTATAGAAGGATTTATTTCAAGGAGTTGGCTTACATGATTGTGGAGACAGAGCAAGTAGGCTTACCTCCCAAGATCTATAGGCCAGGGGACAGGAATAGTATTGCCAGAATCTCTATGTATTCTCTGGTGGCAAAACACACCCTAATGGATTCTGTTTTCAACTGGTTAATTGATTACATTACATCAGATTACATTATGGAAGGTAATCTGTTCTACCCATGATGCAATGATTTAATCACATGTAACTACCAACTGGACTAGTGTTTGGCCAAACCACTAGGAACCATATATAGCAAAGTTGACATACAAAATTAACCATCATAGGGACATTCCACTAATCAGAAACAGAGTGAGAACTGTTCGTCAAATCCTCAGGCTCCTAGCCCAGGCTCTTTTTTACCATTCCCCCATCAGAAGTCATGACTGCTATTAAAAATTAACCCAAGAGAAAATAAGAGAAATAGCAGTCAGGAAATAAGGAGTTTAGTTTTCTTTCACCAGCACTCCCTTTGATCTTGGACCAGGCATGGAATCTCTCTGGGCTTCGCTTTCCAAATTTCTAAAGTAATATAGTAAACTTCCTGTTATCTTGGAAAGATTGGAGATAATCAAATAGAACTGTGTTTGTAAAAGGCCTTCCAGACTTGTAAATCACTACACAAATATAAAAAACTCTTATTATCAGCGAGACTCTTTTCAATTTCCAAAGCTACAACCAATTAGCAGCACATACCAACTCCTCACCTTGTGACTTGTTACCTTTGGGACTTAGGTATCTAGTGCTGCTGTAACAGAAATACCAGCAGCTGGTGGCTTTAATAAGAAGAAATTTATTTTCTCACAGTTTAGGATGCTAGACATCTGCATTCAGGGCACTAGCTCTAGGGGAGAGCTTTCTCTTTTTGTCAGCTCCAGGGGAAGGTTCTTATCTCTTTTCAGCTTCTGTTCCTTGGTTCTTGGCAATCTTCATGTGATGTGGCATTTGTCTTCCTCCACCTGTGCTTGCTTGCTTCTGTGCCTAATTTCTTCCTTTTGTATCTCAAAAGTAATTGGTTTAAAGCACACCCCACACTGATATGGCCTCATTAACATAATAAAGAAAACTCTATTCCCAAATGAGTTTACATCCATGGGTATAGGAGTTAGGATTTACAATGTATTTTGGGGGGGACACAATTCAATCCATAGCAGGGAAATCTCAAATTCTTCTTTTATCTGCTATTCTTGAAAGTATAGCTTTTGACTTGAAAAGGATCATTTAGAGATGGAATTGCCTCTCTGACCTCATCTCCTAACATTCCTTCACTCCTATACTGCACTCCAGCCACGCTGACCTTCTTGCTCTTCCACCGGCATGCGAAGTGTACTCCAGTCCCAGAGCCTTGCACCTGCTGTTCCTTCTGCCTGGACTGCAGCCATGGCTCCCTCCCTCACTGTCCTCAGGTTTCTGTACAAACGTCTTCTATTCAAAGAGACCTTTACTGATCGTGTTGGGAGCTCTGGTAGCATAGTGCCTAAGGCATTTGACTGCTAACTAGAAGGCTGGTGGTTCAAACCCACCAGCCACTCCCCGGAAGGAAGGTTGGGCAATCTACTTCCGTAGTGATACTGCCTCGGAAACCCAAGGAGGGGTCGCTATGGGTCGGATCCGACTCCATGGCAATGCTTGCGTTGCTTTTTACATGCCTACCCCATTGCTTCAATTCCCTTTTCCCTGTTCTTTTCTTTTCCATAGCACACATCACCGCTTGGTTTATTATCTGACTTCTTCCATGACAGTGGAAGTTCTGGGAGGGTAGGGACTTTGTTTTATTCCTTGCCATATCCCCAGTTCCTAGGACTGGGCCTAGAATATAGTAGAATCTCAATAAATATCAGGTGACTAGATGAATGAAATGAATGGATGATGGATGAGTAAATGAACGAACCCAGGAATGTCTGATTCCACGATTCATATCCTATACTACGTACCCACTGGCCAGGTGCCTGCCCTTGTTTTGCACTTTTTAGTGAGCTCTACTGCGATCAGCCATTTAAATAAATATTAAATACATTTGTTCTCTTTTCAGAATCAGCATTCGGGCTTTCACACAGCTGTTTGATGAGGATCTTAAGGAATTCACAAAGCCACTCTATTCAGACACATTTTTCTCTTTGCCTATCACCACTGAGTCAGGTAAGGCTAACCTGTTCATCCACCTGCACATTCTATTGTCCACTGTGTCACCTATAAGAGCCTTACTTGGCTGACTATGGAGGGAACCTTTGTTCTCCATCTGGAATCTAATCTTTATATGTAATCATGGATTGAAGGATTAGAAGGATTGCATAGTTTCAGTAGGAGGATGGCCTGGAAAGGGGATTAATATAGAAAAGAATATAGAAGTACAAGATTTTTTTATTACTATTAAAAATAAATTATTTTTAAACTGGGTGAAAACATTAGAATCAAGGGTTTGCACAGGCCAAAAATATAAGTTGATATAAAAGGCTTTTAATTGTAAGTAGGGAAGTATATATGCATAAACATAGAAGTGCATTAAAAAAGACTACAAGAATAATTTTATTAACAATGAATTATTAATGGAATAATTATTACTAATTATTAAGACAGTAATTAATACATTGTTAATATATTATATATGTTACATATAATATAATGTATAAAAAAAAACTCACTGTGATCAAGTCATTCCTGACTCGTAGCGACCCCCATTGGGTTTCCAAGGCTGTAAATCTTTACTACATATATGAGGAGCTCTGGTAGTGTAGTGCCTAAGGCACTTGACTGCTAACCCAAGGTTCAGTGGTTCAAACCCACCAGCTGCTCCATGGAAGGAAGGTTGAGCAATCTACTTCCATAGTGATACTGCCTCAGAAACTCAAGGAGGGGTCTCTATGAGTCGGGTACGGCTCCACGACATATAACAGCAACATATATAATACAACATATATTACTATATGAACAATGAACATCTCAAAGTAGTGGATTATAGGTGACTTTTCTTCCTTTTGGTTATCATCTGTTGCTTTTACACTATAAAATAATGTTAAAAGAAAAGATTTTATCTAAATTTGTGAAAGAAACCTCTGTAAGGTATAGTAACATAGAAAAAGTCCACGTCATTACAATTACTATTATTATTATGTTGTTGTTGTTATGTGCCATCGAGTCGGATGGGTCCGACCTCATAGTAACCCCTCCTTGGGTTTCCGAGGCAGTATCACCATGGAAGTAGATTACCCCATCTTCCTTCCGAGGAGTGGCTGGTGGATTTGAACCACCAGGCTTCTGGTTAGCAGTCAAGTGCCTTAGGCACTAAGCTACTAGAGCTCCTTATTATTATAGCTATTATTATTATAATAGCTAATATTTACTGTTCACTTTCTCTGTGGAGGTTTGAAGCATTTTACATAAAATAATTTATCTAGTCCTCACTCCAACCTTTTGAAAAGATACTATTATTGTCCCCATTTTAAAGGTGAGAACCAAAGGCACCAAGAGATTAAATATCTTGCCCGTGTTGCTAGAGCTGGCCTGAACTCTCAGCCTCTATCTACACTGCACTGCACTGCCTTGGAACATTTCCATCATACTCAGAAGAACATCATTTTTTCATCAGGGTTTTCCTTGACACAATATCTATCCCAGCCTTCACTTGTAGTCACTGATCTATAATGCTTACTCTAGGGAAGTTCCACTTTATAGCTAAAGAGATTCTCATGCTGTATGACAGCCTCACATCCTATCTATTTATGCCAAATACAGGAATAATCCAACTCTTCAAATGAAAGAGGAATCAGCACACAGTAAATAGGGTTTAGATGTGTTTGCTTGTAATATAATATTACGTAGGAGGTGTAAACATGTCTTTCCTGTTTGAAATATTCTTCTACAACAAAGTTGTTGTGTAAGACAATATGCATATGTATATGTGGTCCAGTAAAGGAAAATAATAATATTATTTTTATATTAAAAATATTAAAAAATAATATTAAACACAATAAAAGGTGATTGTGTAGATTTGGTGATTCTTGAAAAACAGCATTGAATAAACAATTACAAGGACTTAAAATGCAACTGGGTAAATGAGCTATCCATAGACCTAAATGTAAGAACTAAAATCATAAAACTCTTAAAAGAAAACACAGGAGTAAATCTTTGTGATATTAGGTTATAAAATGTTTTTCTAAATATGATGCCAAAAGTGCAAGCAACAAAAAAATAGATACATTAGACTTAATTAAAATTAAAAATCTTTGTATTTCAAAGGATACCATCAAGAAAGTAAAAAGCCAGTCCACAGAATGAGAGAAAATATTTCCAATTCAAATTTCTTATAAAGGTCAAGTATCCAGAATGTATGGCTAAGACACTTGCCTGCTAACCAGACGGCTGGCGGTTCAAACCCACCAGCCACTCCTCGGAAGGAAGGTTGGGCAATCCTACTTCCGTAGTGATACTGCCTCAGAAACCCAAGGAGGGGTCACTGTGAGTTGGGGCCGACTCAACGGCACATAACAACAAACAACAACATCCAGAATATACACATAAAGAACTCTCACGACTCAATGCACTATGCCACCAGAGCTGCTATAAAAAGACAAGTAATGTTTTTATCATTATTAAATGGGTGAAGTATCTAATAGACATTTCTCAAAAGAAGATATACAAGTGACCAATAAGCACATGAAAAGATGCTCAACATCATTAGTTATTAGGGAAATAAAAAACAAAACCACATTAGGATACCACTTCACACCCACTAGAATGGCTGTAATCAAAAATAGAGGTAATAACAAGTGTTGGTGAGGATATGGCAAAAATGGAGCCCTCATACACTGCTGGTGGGAATGTAAAATGACATAGTGACACTGGAAAACAGTTTGTGGTTCTTCAAAACATTAAATATGCAGAGTTATTGTTAGTAGTTCCACTCCTAAAAGTATATACCCAAGAAAAATGAAAACATAGGTCCCACAAAAACGTGTTCACAGCTGCTCAGAGAAATATTATTCATAATAGGAAAAAAGTAGAAATAATCCAAATGTTCATTAACTGCTGAATGAATAAACAAAACGTAGTATAGTCATAAAATGGAATATTAGCCATATGAAAGAATGAAGTACTAATCCATGCTACAACATGAACGAACCTTGAAAATATTATGCTACATGAAAGAAGCCAATCATGAAACACTGCATATTATATGAATTCAATTATATGAAATGTCCAAAATAGGCAAAAACTACAAAGACAGAAAGACTGAAACAATGAGCTCACACCAATGATCATGAAGACAGTTCAGGACCTGACAGTGTTTGGTTCTGTTGTGTATTAGGTTGCCATGACTCAGAGCCAACTTGCCGGCAACAAGCAACAACGTAAAGACAGAAAGTAGAGTAGTGCTTGCCAAGGGCTGGAACAGGTGGAAGGAAATGGGGAGTGGCTGCTTAGGGGTACGAGGTTGCTTTTGGGGGTGATGAAAATGTTATAAAATTAATTGTGGTGATGGTTGAAAAATTTGTGACTATACTAAAAAGTATTGAATTATACAATTTAAATTGGTGAATTGTAGAGTGTGTGAATTATATTTCAATAAAGCTGTTAGAAAAATGGGTTACTCTTACCTGTTCATAAACTCCCAATGGCTGTATCATACAAGATAATAAAAATGAGATTTCTTTACAAATAACCTTTACCCAACTCACTGGATTTGCAAAACCTAAAATGCTATGTAACATGTTACATATAAATGAAATAATGTTTTTATTTTGCTGGCAAATCACATGTTCTCCATTCTAAATACTGACCTTTATCTCAAATGTCCCAAGATCTATAAACAAGTACAAAAGATGGCCAAAATCCCCTTATAAGTGAAACACCATTAACTTAAAAGTGTAAGAATATGAACTTCAAGTATAATGACTGGCCTGCCTGCTACAAGATAGTAGTCCACATTTCATCATATCAGTTGTGTAAGTCCCAACCTTTGGATAATAAATGCTTCAATGTAGACATGACTTGAATTCTATCTGTCAGTGTTCCTTGGGAGAGAGGGCTTCAGTTCCTTAGCACTAATTTTCCCACCTGAGTTTGTTGTTTCCATCTGCATTATTGTAGAGCCCTTGTTTGGAGTCATTGAAGGTGTGAGTGCTGGTCTGTTCTTAATTGGCATGCTGGTAGCTGTTGTTGCCTTATTCATCTGCAGACAGAAAGTTAGGTGAGTACAAAAGACCCCTTTGGTGAGGCAAGTGAAAATGCCCTTTGGAATGAAAAGTACAAAAAGAAAATAAGTCCGCAGGTTAAATCACCTTTGTTCCTCCATAAAAGCAAAAGTCAAACTCTAAAGCCACAGTTTCCATTTTTCAGCTCCTCTGTATACATTTAATGAATTTTGCTCTTACTGGGAGACTGCAGTTTCATTTGAATGTGAAATAACTTCTTTTGTACAGGAAAAAAAAAAAAAAAATTTTTTCCCCTGTGGTTCAGTCTCTTCGTGAAGACAGAGATGTTTGCAAATTGTGTGCCCAAGTACTTTCCTAAAATGTGCTGAAAATTATGGCTGACATCACCATTTTTGGCTCATACCTGCCATCCAAATTTAAAAAGGGACCAAAAAGAACCAAAAAGCATGTTGCCTCAATGCCATACCCTCCTCTCTCAGGGAATTTCTTTTATTTGGCACACTGTCTTCTCTCTTGCAATCATGTCTTACATCTGTGGTTTACTGGTTTTTTAAAGAAAGTTTTATTGAGAGTGTGGGAAGTGATGATGACCTGTAGCCAAAAAAACCAGGAGACAAATCCTCAGCTATTGCCCAGATCTGTTTCTGAGTGGGAAAAAAAAAATCCATTTTTCCTTTATGCTCTTCTTCTCCTTTCCTTCCCTCAAAGAAGTGTTGGCCGAGTGTAAATCTACATGAGTACTGAAAAATCCATACTAACACAAACAGGCACAGCCTTACCATAGAGGAAAATTTTTGCTCAAATCGAGTTAAATAGTCAGAATGAAAAGCTTCTCCCTCTGTTTCAGCCATGGTCGAGAAAGGCCCTCCGCTCGCTTGAGTATTCGTCGGGATCGACCATTATCTGTCCACTTGAACCTGGGCCAGAAAGGGTAACTGCCACATTTTCCTTCATACAATTTTTTAAAATAAGGAATTGATTGTATTATGTGAGATTTGCTAACGTGGTCTTTCTTCTTCGCCCTTTCCTTCACAGTAACCAGAAAACATCTTGGTAAGAGAGAAAACTCATTAATTACTCTATTATGTGTTTTTGAAATACAACTCAGATTGGTTATGACATTTTCCCATTTCTTCAGTAACTTTATCTTCTTTTTGTTACATTCTTAATTATAGCCCAATAAAAATAAATCAGTTTGAAGGGCATTTTATGAAGCTACAAGCTGACTCCAACTACCTTCTATCCAAGGAATATGAGGTACGATTCAGGTGTAAGAAAAGTTTAGCATCCCTTAGCATAATTTCCCTCCTAACCTTTACTGTGGAATCACAGACTGACTGGACTCAGGAGTTAAGATGATGCTTAGATTCTCGGCTGAGTATTCTTTTATGCCAGAATCCACTCCTTGTACAATATACCAAGGATTGAAGCTTGTATACATCACATATTAAGTATTCCATAAACAGTAGGTAGTGATCTGGTCTCACAAAGATAACAGCCTAGGAAGCCTATGGAGTAGTTCTACTGCCATATAAAGTCACTATGAGTCAGAATTGACTTGACAGCACACAACAACAACAAAGTGTTGCTATTTCTATATTATTGAGTATTAAGGACTGTATGAGTTGTCTTGTTCTATTTCATATTCTTCTACTTGCCAACTAATTTTTTACTTAATAGGACTTAAAGGACGTGGGTCGAAACCAATCATGTGACATTGCACTCTTGCCAGAGAATAGAGGGAAAAATCGATACAACAATATATTGCCCTGTAAGTTTTGTGGTGAAATTTGTACTACTGTCTTCCACTAGCCATTTTTTCTTGTTTCCAGGGATGAAAATGGGGCTAAAGAAATATAGTATGGCTAGATACAGAAGACCTCAGGCTCTGAATGCCTTTAAAAAAGGATGCCTTGTGTTTTATTGCACTCCCTCCACAGAAGTAACAACTAGCTTAAATTCTAGTGACCAGAGGTTTCTTACGCTGTTGACATTTCAGCATGTTATCCTACTGCTTCTCTTTGGAAGCCTAATAACAGTAATGGGTGAAAGTAAGGGCTCTGGTGGCCAGCAGACTTGGATTGCTTAACAGAATTTCTAGTTCATGATTATTCTTTTATTATTATCATTAGTGTACTGGATGAAGCAATAGAAGATAGTTTTCCTGGATTGTTTTTATTCCAGCAGTGAAAGGGAGCTGGCCACTCCATCAGATAAATGCCATAGTCTTGCAAAGGGAAACACAGCTGAGCTTTTTTGTTGACACAATCTGCTCCAAAGAATAAGAGAACCACCCCCAAGAGTCAGTGACAAATCTCTCTCCCTAAACTTTCTTCCAGATGATGCCTCGCGGGTGAAGCTTTCCAACGTTGATGATGACCCTTGCTCTGACTACATCAATGCCAGCTATATTCCTGTAAGTGAACCACTGAGCAACACTGCCAGGGGTAAACCTTTGATGGGCAGCTAATCTGGAAATGCCTCTCTACCTGCATGGTTCCACAGTTCTTATTTGAAGATCTGGAAATATTTAGGTTTTCAAAGACCGTATCTGTTGCCTTCAGACCAACCGTGCCTGATTGCCATAATATACGAGTGTCCAATTCAGTCACTGCTAAGGCCCATTGGTCACCATGAATGTAGTCACACAACATCATTAAGTGTCCAGGATGCATTTTCAAGGGTTATTTTTTCTCTGCAGCCCTTAGCCAAGATGAGAGCTTCCTAAGGAAGCTGAATGAGACATTAGTGATTCAATGGCAGAAATTTCGTCTCCCATATGGGAAACAAGTCTCAGTCAATGTTCCTCATGTGCAGCCACTGCCTGTCAGTGGAGGTTTGCATGTTGCCATGATGTTGAACAGATTTCAGCAGTTTCCAGACAAAGGCAGATGAAGAAGACAAAGGCCTGGTGATCTACTTTCAAAAAATATCCAAGAAAATACTATGCATGACAGTAGAACATTGTCCAATCTACAACCGATTGTTCGACTATACATGGGATCACCGTGACTCAGGGCCAACTCAATAGCAGCTAATAACCACAACGACAAGAGCTGGACCTCTAATGTTCTGTTAAGGCTGCCTAGCTAAGGAAGCTGATCCTATCTTATTTGGAGTTTTGAAAGCCACAGACTCAACTCAAAGATTGAGTCAAACCTCTGGGATCTGATTCTGGCTAGCTTTTAGCCAACTTCCTGTAGCATACCAGAGTGAAAAGAACTTTAGTGTCAAAAAAAATCCAATTCTACTTCTGCCCTTTGCTGACCCTGTGACTTTGGGAAAGTTATGGATTTTGTTTCCTTTTCTAAAAAATGAGATTAGTGATATATACCTCAAGCATCCATTCACTCACTAAACACTAGGTAAGTGCTAACTCTAAGTCAAACACTGAGCTGTGTGCAGGGATAGGATAAAACAGAACCCTGATCCTAAAGGAATTCTCAGAAGAGTTGAGACATCAGGAAATTATAAGGCCACATCACGAGAAACATGCTAGAGTGGTGCTTCTCCAAGGTTAACATACATATTCATCAGCTGGGATCTTGTTAAAATGCAGGTTCTAACTCAAGAGGGCTGAGTTGAGACCTGGGATTCTGCATTTCTAACAAACTCCAAGATGATCCCAATATTGCTGGTCTGAAGACCACCTTCTGAGTATCAAGAGGTGAGAGGTTACCATGGGAGCATATGGGAGGAAAATATCACCCTGCAAAAGGTAAAGGGAAGCTCCACAGAGCAGGCATCATTCCAAGACTTGCATGATAAATAAAAATTAGCCAGATGAGAATCAGTGTTAGTGGACGGCAGGTTGAAGGTGGCAGATGTGACATAACCACAAAGGCTCTGAGAAGAGGCAAGAAGAGAAAGAGCTTTGAGTTGTTGTTGTTGTTGTTGTTATGTGCCGACGAGTCAAACCCAACTCATAGCGACCCCTCCTTGGGTTTCCGAGGCAGTATCACTACGGAAGTAGGATCGCCCAACCTTCCTTCTGAGGAGTGGCTGGTGGGTTTGAACCACCAGCCGTCTGGTTAGCAGGCAAGTGTCTTAGCCACTATGCTACCAGAGCTTTGAGTAGAAACTACAAATAATTCCATATTGTTGGAGTACAGAGTGAGTAGGTAAAAATAACCCCACTTGTTGGTTGAGATTAAATAAAATCTTTAAAAACTTCTGGTCCACTACATGTCATACAGTTGTTGTTGTTGTTGCTGCTGTTATCTGCCTTTGAGTCAGCCCCCGAATCATGGCAACCCTATGCACAGCCAGATTCTGAGCATCCCCATGATCAGTTGGGGATCTGATGTTGAGATCCATAGCATCTTCACTGACTGATTTTTTGGAAATAAATCACCAAGCCTTTCTTCCTAGTCTGTCTTAGTCTGGAAGCTCTGCTGAAACCTGTTCAATATCAGCATCACACAAGGCCCCACATGAGGTTCGTTGCCTGGGAGCTGAGACTGAGTCTCCCATGTGGAGAGCAAGAATTCTATCACTGAAGTACCAATGTCCTCTATCATATGGTAGATGCTCAATAAACAGTGCTTTCTTTAGCCTTATGTTTCCCTTGCATGACATCCTTTACTAACATTATTCCAGTGTCAATCATCTAACATTGTTAAAATTCATCTACCTTAAATACAGAGAGCCTGCTCAAAGTCAGACCTTCAGCCTATACACACACAGACACATACACACAATAGAATTGAGACACTTGTCCATATAACAGAGGGTGAAGTGTTTTCTAGATCATTGCCTGCATCCTCCATTTGTCTTTTAGAATAGACCCAGCCTAAATCAGAAGGAATTTGGCTCTTGACAATAGTTCAGTGCTCTGGCCTTTGTCCTTCCTGCTCCCAAACCTTGACACTTGTATGAGTATCTTTTTCTCAAGTCAAAGGCCTGGCAGAGACCTACATATCATTTAATCTTTAGAGCTAACTCTTTGTTTATAGCTTGTAAGAGGTCCATTGTTTCTGACTCTCCATATTGTAAATTCATCTCAGGGCAACAACTTCAGAAGAGAATACATCGCTACTCAGGGACCACTTCCTGGCACCAAGGATGACTTCTGGAAAATGACGTGGGAACAGAATGTTCACAACATTGTCATGGTGACACAGTGTGTCGAGAAGGGCCGAGTGAGTAAACAGCCTCCCTGGCTTCAGAGTCTTCCTGGATGGAATTCAATCCCACCATCAAAACTTAAACCCCCCAAAAACCAAGTAGGGATCGTGTGAGAACATTACTAGGGAATGAAGACACCCAGTTACAAAAGGCTTTAATAGTAATTCCAGGCAGTGCCTGATTCTGATTCTGGTTCTGAAGTTTCAGTCAAAGGTGTTTCCAAATGTGGACTGGAATTATTGCAAGTGCCATATCAGAGAAGAGTAACTGGCCAGTTGTTGCTCCCTCCTTCAGTGTGTGACTAAAGGGGAGACTTTTACCAGAGTCATTGGGCCTGCCCCTGCTTTCAGAAAAAGGAGAAATGAGTTTTAGGCTTTATCTATAGACAGAAAGTAATATAGTTATCTGTAGAAATTAAGCACATCTCTTGTAATGAATGCACTTTTAATCCTCTACTTTATAGGTCTATTTTGAAGATTAAAAGAGAGATTACATGTAAAATGCCCAGTATTCTGTGGTCAATAAATATTTGTCCATAGTCCTCTTTCTCCCATTTTTGTGCATGTAAACACAACCTCCCCGCCCCCCCAAAAAAAAAACCCACTGCCATTGAGTTGATTCCAACTCACAGCAACCCTAAAGGACAGAGTAGAACTGTCCCATAGGGTTTCCAAGGCTATAAATCTTTACGGAAACAGTCTGCCTCATTTTTCTCCCACGGAGTGGCTGGTAGATTTGAAGCACTGACCTTTTGATTAGGAGCTGAATGCTTTAACCACTGCACCATCAGAGCTCCTATGTAAACAAAAGCTTAGCTAAATATTCTGACTTCTCAAAGATCACTTGGCACTTTGCACTTGGTCCAGGCCAGGACACTGATACCAAAATATGAACAAGACAGGGCCAAGAAGACAATGACCTTCTTTGCCCATCTAGATGTTTTTCTGAAAGAGTGATAAATTTTAAAGCAGTTTATCTGCTAGTAGAACTAGAATACTGAGAAAATCAACAAAAATACTCAAGTGTGTAAGACTGCATGAAATGGAAGGGAAATGAATCCAAAGGTTGGGGGTTTTGCTCCTTGTGCAGTGTCACCAGTTGTGCTGGTGTCCCCTTCACTTGAAGCAGCAACCCAACTTCAGCACTGGCCATGAAAATGTTAATACAATGCAGATGGCCAAATGGCTTTAGCAGCTGATTCTGACTCAGGAAGACATTTCAAGGGGGGGAAAGTCCAAGTTCACAAAGGAGTCACATTTCTGGTCTCGCTGTTTTCCTCTCTGTCTTCTCTAGGTCAAGTGTGACCATTACTGGCCAGCAGACCAGGATTCCCTCTATTATGGAGACCTCATCCTGCAGATGCTCTCAGAGTCTGTGCTGCCAGAGTGGACCATCAGGGAGTTTAAGATATGCAGTGTACGTTAGCTTGTTCAACTTCATTTAACAACCCAGCTTGGAAAGATAAATGACATTTGTGGATCCCGACCTTGCTGGTTCTTATCCTGGAGTTTCAATCCATAGGAATTCTTACCTGGGCACAGTTGGCAAAGTTGAAGGTTTGCCTTGGGTCATTCTTCTTAATAGTCTACTCTCTGTTCCTGCAGGAGGAACAGCTCGATTCACACAGACTCATCCGACACTTTCACTATACGGTGTGGCCAGACCATGGAGTCCCCGAGACCACCCAGTCTCTTATCCAGTTTGTGAGAACTGTCAGAGATTACATCAACAGAACCCCTGGTGCTGGGCCCACTGTGGTGCACTGCAGGTACTCATCAACCTGGGAACCAATAAGAATGTCAGGCATACAAAGTCTACTATGTCTAGAAGACTGAAAAAAAGGCATAAACATGGGAAATTTGGTGGATGGAGGATTTGTCTGGTCCAAACAACCTCTTAGCACCGAAGACATCCTCTGTCTCTCTCTATAGATATACATATGTGTATGTATGTATGTATAGAGCTCTGGTGGTGTAGTGGGTAAGATATTTGGCTGCTCAAACGCACAAGCTGCTCTGTGAGAGGAAGATGTGATGATATACTTCCATAAAGATTTATAGCCTTGGAAACCCAGTGGGGGTCGTTATGAGTTGCAATCTACTCGATGGCAGTGGGTTTGGTTTTGGTTATGTAGGTATATACAGAAGCTGAACCTCTATTGCTAAGGCTAGCTTTGTTTTATGTATTTGCCAATTCAACGTTTTACATTGCAGTTCAGTGACATTGGTTTTGATCATCATGATATGCAGTCATCACCACCATCATTTCCATATTATCTCACCACCACTAAGAGAAACCCCTAAGCAAAGACTCCCCTTTTCCTCCTCCCTCCCACTCCTGGTAACCACTAATAAACTTTGCTCTCTATATATTTGCCTATTTCATTTAAGTGGGGCCATACAATATCTGTCCCTTTGTGACTGACATGTTTTTAAGGTTCATTCATGTGGCAGTATCCCTCAAGACTTCCTTTCTCTTTATGACTGAGTAATATTCCTTTGTATGTATATATCGCACTTGTTCATCCGTTCATCTGTTGATTGACATTTGGTTGCCTGTTGTGAACAGTGCTGCAATGAACTTTGGTATAGTCCTGGGTGATTTTATTACTCTGTCTTCCTTCTTCTTCTCCCCAACATCTCTCCTCTGCACTGACTTCTTTTCCATTTTCTTTGCCTCCCACCTGTCTCTCATCCTCACTTTCTGTCCTTCTTTCTACCTTTTACTCTTTTCCCTACTGTACAAAGTTCAAAGTCCTTATGTGACTTCCATGTCCTCCATCATGGGGCTCATCTTACTGTCCAATCTGGATTCCAACAACTCCCTCCCAGTCTTTCCAGGAAGGTAACTGCACAAGCTTATTTTTACTTCTCTTTATTCTTACTCCTTGGAGTTTCCCAACCTTTCTCTCCCACCTATTCACCTCCTACCCATGCATCCTTCAGGACCCCTGTTCTAAACCTTCTTCCAGCTCTAGAAGCCCTTGATATCTGTAGCACCTGATTTTACTTTCAAATTTCTGTCTCTCCTACATGTTTTCACTGATTCCTGTGATTTCATTCCCTTCCCTGTGCCAGACTGTAAGCTTATTGAGTTGGCCCATTGTCATTGCTTCTGTGGTATTCCCCAGGTCACATAGCACCTGGACCATAGCATGGTCTATGAATTTGCTAATGGAATCCTTCAACATCTGTCTTATTGGCAGCCCCCTCTCAGTTTTGCTTGTTTCCCTCATTTTTTCCCCCTTTCCCTTTGTTTGAAACAATACTTATCTCTAATTTTCAAAATTTCTTTTCAATTTTGAGTCTTAACTGGTACTCTCGAAGTGTTAAAGTTAAAGAGCCAGCCAGGCCAGAGATGGGCCCTGGGGCATTGAACCTCCTTAGGCAGATAAAATGGCTTGTCTGCAAAATCAGCTTGGTGCCCGCTGCCTCCTATGATTCATTTCCAGCTCTGAGGCTATTTAGTGGCCTCACTTAGATGCATGTGTGCAAAATCAATCTAACAAGCTCTCTTTCTCTCTGTCTCTCTCTGTCTCTCTCTCTCTCTCTGGGGAGCCTGGTGTTTAGCTAATTAATGTTTGCAACAATACTTTGATAGCCCTAACTGAATGGCACTAATAAATAAGAAGCCAAGAATTGCTACAGTAAGAGAAATGTCAGATGCACTCATTTTCTCCCAATTAGCCCAGCACCCTAGGACCCCTGCCTATATATGTCATTGGAACCCTGATGTTCTTAATAGGACTGTGAGGCACTCAATAGCTTCATGCATTCCAAAGAATGCATTTTCACCCAGGGCCACTGGAGAACTGATCTTCTTTTATCTTACAAATATGTGCATCAAAAATCCCCAGATAATACAACCACTTTGAGGAGCAATTTGTCAATACCCAGTGAAGTTGAAAGTGTACATACCCTATGACCCAGCAGTTCTTCTAGGTATCAATCCTAGAGTAGTCTTTACATATGCGCACAGTGATGTTCCTGGCAACACTCTTTTTAGCAGAGAAAAACTAGAAATGATCTCATTGTCCATCAGTAGGGAATAGTTCAGATATGATTTATAAACTCTATACCAAAAAAAAAAAGCAAACTCACTGCCATTGAGTCCATTCCAACTCAGAGTGACCCTCATTGGGTTTCTGAGGCCGTAAACCTTTACAGAAGTAGATTGCCCCATCGTTCTTCTACAGACTGGCTGGTGGGTTTGAACCACCAACCTTCTGGTTAGCAGTCAAATGCCTTAGGCACTATGCCCCTAGAGCTCCTTGTTGTTGTTGTTGTTATGTGAACCACCAGCCTTCTGGTTAGCAGTCAAGTGCCTTAGGCACTATGCTACCAGAGCACCTTAGGATAGTTAAAATATTAATTAGATCTACATATAACACCATGGATAAATCTCAAAACACAATATTGAGTAGAAAGGTTGGCAAAAATGTGTATAAAATCTACTAACATTTTAGTAAATTTTTGTAACATATAAAATAAATACAGTGTTTATGGAATCATATGTATGTAGGGAAAGTATAAAAATATGCATGGAAAGGATACCAAATACAGAATAATACTTATCCCTGATGGGAACAGAGTTGAGGAGAGGAAGGAAGGAGAAAGAAATGGAGGGCAGGGGTTCTATGTTTTATTTTTTTAACAGGGAGAGCACATTGAGAAAAGGAAACACCCTTCTATTCTCCCATGAACAGGAGGGGAAGAGAAAGATTGTGCCAGAGTCTATTGATGAGTTTTCAATTTTCTTTTGCCATCTTTTCCAGTGCTGGTGTGGGTAGGACTGGAACATTTATTGCATTGGACCGAATCCTCCAGCAACTAGACTCCAAAGATTCTGTGGACATTTATGGAGCAGTAAATGACCTAAGACTTCACAGGGTTCACATGGTCCAGACTGAGGTAAGAGTTACAAGCTGAAGGACGTAGACCTTCCCAGCAAAAAAAAAAAAAAAAAAAAAATTTCCAGGACTTCAGTCTGACGAGGAGAAAGAACTATGACACATGAGAAAGAGAAAGAGAGAATTGAATATAGATGTTTTATAGGGCTTAATTTAAAAAGAATCTCAGTGACATTGAGGGTGGGGTTTATACTTACCTTAATTGAGCTGGTTGCCCAGTCTCTCTCTGTAGGTGGTTAGGAAGAGATAGGTTCTCTACCCCATCCTCCCTGGGCTTTTTTCTAAAAAAAAAAATTATATATATTACAAACCATTTGCTGTTTCACCATTTTTTACATGTACAACGCAAGACATTGATTATGATACTCCTGTGGGGGAAACAATTCCCACTATCTGTTTCCAAATTTTGAAAGATGGGTTTGTTTTTTTTAATTAATACATTATACCTGGGGGCGTGACCAAAGCAGCCAGTCTTCAAGATCATTTCAAGATAGTCTGGTGGCTGAGTACAAGAAACTCAATTAGTAAACAGAAGTAGATTCCAATCTTCTCCCCTACATTCCGCCCACACCTGTGCCCCTGCCTCTGGAGACACCAAGGGGGTGATCATGAAAGCTAAAAGCTTCCTTTTGTACAGCACTTTGACATTTGCAGGGCATTTTAAAACATGTTATCTCATTAAATTTCTACAATAATCAGATAAGGAGGTATTTCCCATTTTGCAGGCTAGAAAAATGAGGTTCAGAAGGTAGGGTTCTGCACAAGGCACACAGCCATAAAGTGGCTGAGCTGGGACTTGAACTCTGGTCTAGAGAATCCCAGGCCCTGAACACCAGCCTGCTGCCCCACAGCCTCATGGTTGGGTCTTGAACCCCACACTATGTTGTAAACAGGCCCAAGCATTTCATACCCCTAAAATTCAAGTTCCTTTATCTTGCATTTCCCAGCTATTTCTTCCAAGTAACCCAACAAAATCCTCCATTAAAAAAAATCCTGGTCAAAAAAGTGGAAAAGTTTTACATCCTATTATATCTCACTTAAAGGAAGCAGTGGTGGTTCTTACTTTCTGTGCAGGAGACTCAGGTTTGATTCCCAGCCAATACACAGGCAGCACCTGTCTGTCAGTGGAGGCTTTTGTATTGCTATGATGTTGCTTAGGAGCTCTGGTAGCATAGTGCCTAAGGCACTTGACTGCTAACCAGAAGTCTGGTGGTTCAAACCCACCAGCCCCTCCTTGGAAGGAAGATGGGGCAATCTACTTCTGTAGTGATACTGCCTCAGAAACCCAAGGAGGGGTCCCTATGAGTTGGGTCCGACTCTACAGCACATAACAACAACAACAACATGATGTTGCTTGTATGTTGCTAAGGGCTTTGGTGATATAGTGGTTAAAGCATTGGGCTGCTAACCAACAGGTCAGTGGTTTCAAACCCACAAGTTGCTCCACAGGAGAATGATGAGGCAGTCTGCTTCCATAAAGATTTACAGCCTTGGAAATCCTATGGGGCAGTTCTTCTCTGTTTATTATGAGTTGGAATCAACTCCGTGACAGTGGGAATGATGTTCAACAGGTTTCAGTGGAACTTCCAGACTAAAACAGTCTAGGAAGACAGGCCTGACAATTTACTTCTGAAAATCAGCCAATGAAAACTCTACAGATCACAATGCTCTGATCCACAGCTGATCATGGGGCCGGCACAAGTGTTTTGTTGCATTGTGCATGGGGTAGCTATGAGTCAGGGACAACTAACTCAATGGCAGCTAACAACAATAACAAAAGTCTCAGTACACATGAAACTTCCAAGGGGGCAGTGCTCCACAAAACTGGAGTGACTGTAGCAAAGGCTCCCTTCAAGCTTTGTTGTCCCCACTATTCCCAGAACCAACTGAACTCTTTCCTTGTGCAGCATATACTAGTACCTTGCAGAACTCACATTCCATAGCACATTTTGGAAAATGCTTGTCTCATTGCCTCCTTCAGACTGTGCCCACACCATGTATCTCCTGCCTCCATCACTGTACTGGGCAGAGAGGACTTTAGTTATACCAATTATTATTTGTTGTTGTTGTTGTTATGTGCAGTCGAGTCAAACCCAACTCATAGCGACGCCTCCTTGGGTTTCCGAGGCAGTATCACTACGGAAGTAGGATTGCCCAACCTTCCTTCCGAGGAGTGGCTGGTGGGTTTGAACCGCCAGCCGTCTGGTTAGCAGGCAAGTGTCTTAGCCACTCTGCTACCAGAGCTCCCCCAATTATTATTATAGCATACTTTAAAAAAATGTTTTTTTTAATGCATGAAACTATATCAGAATTATAGCCAATGACTGAATCTAGTAACAGTTTTTAAACTTAAGTGTAAATTAAAATTTAATAAAATTAATGATTCAGTTCCTCAGACTCACTAGCCACATTTCAGGTACTCAGTAGCCACATGTGGACAATACGGATTTGAAGGGGGGACCCACCCCATTGCCATCAAGTCCATTTTGACACATGAGGAGCCCAGTATGAGATCTTTTGCAGCAGATGTGTCCAATGCAATCTGTCATTGGATTTCTTTCTTTTTTAACTCTTATGTGATTTGGATAAAAGTTTACAGAGCAAATCAGTTTTCCATCCAACAAGTCATGCACGTTTTGCTTTGTGACACTGCTGCAGTCCCCACAATGTAACAGCACTCTTCCTACTTCCTTCCTGTGTTGACCATTTCCTCTCATCCTTCTTTCCCATCCCTTCCTGCCTTCTGAGCTTTATCCCTGGGCAAATGCTGCCCTTTTGATCGCTGATTCTAAGGAGTGTGAACCACCCTGTTGGTATTGTTCACCTTATAAGTCTATCACTTGGCTGAAAGTTGAGTCATGAGTGTGAATTCAGTTCCAGGCCTGAAGGGTGTCTAAGAGCCATAGTATCAGGGGTTCCCAGAGTCTCTATCAGACCAGTAAGTCTGGTCTTTTTTTATTGTTTTGAGTTTTTTCTATATTTTTCTTTACTCTAGCCAGGACTCCCTATCATGATCCCTTTCAGAGTGGTCAACAGTGGTAGCCAGGCACCATCTTGTTCTTCTAGTCTCAGAGTTGTGGAAGCTGAGGTTCGTGTGATCTATTAGTCCTGTGGACCAATTGTTTCCTAGTATTTTTTATTTTCTTCACTCTTCTTTGCTCCAGATGGGGAGAGACCAATAGTTGCACCTAAGATGGCTATTCACAAGCTTTTAAGACACCAGTCACTACTCATCACAAAACAAGCCAAACTTTACTGCTGTCGAGTAAATTTCAACTCATAGCAAACCCCATTGGGTTTCTGAGGTGGTAAATCTTTATGGAAGTAGATTGCCCAGTCTTTCTTCCTCAGGGTGGCTGGTGGGTTTGAACCAACAACCTTCTAGTTAGCCATCAGATGCCTTAGGCACTGTGCTATCAGAGGTCCTGACTCACCGAAGTAGGATGCAAAACATTGTCTCTGTGGACTATGTTATGCCAGTTGACCTTAGTGTCCCACAAGATTATGATTCTGAGCCCCCAGGCACAGCAATTCTTTCCAAGATGTTTGGTTATGGCTAAGATGTTTTTATAAGTTTGCCCCCTGTATACTGTGCTATATTCATGGATATATTTGTAGCATGTGTAAACACATTCATAGAAATATCCTCTGTCAAACCACAAATGTATTTGTGGGTATAGTCTCACTTTTAGGCAAAAGTCCCATCCCTGACCAGCTTGTGCATCTATGTATCTATTCATAGATTATTGTTATTACTCTCATTACAGGATTTGATATGTAATAGTATTTTCTAGAAGTCGACCTTCAGGCTTTTCATAGTCTACCTCTAGGTGGACCTGAACCCCCAGTCTTTCATTTAGCACCCAAATGCTTTAACTATTTGCACCACCCAAGGACCAGTATTAGGGCAGGTGTCAAAAAAACACACAAAACTAAAGAGAATTGTATGATCAAAAAAACACACAAAACTAAAGAGAATTGTATGATCAGTTTTCATGTACCCAAACCCCAGCTTTTATGATGATCAGTATTCTATATTCTTTTCTTAAAAAATCTATATCCTAAACACATTGTTTCCCTCACCTGTTGACTCCATTAGAATATTTTAAATCAATTCCTAATTATCATATCATTTCATCCTTAAATACTTCTCTACATATCTCTTAGATCAGAATTCTTTTTTAAAAATATGAGCACAGTATTATTGCACCTAACAATTTTTACCATAATTCCTTAGTATTATCTAAAATCCTGTCAATGTTTACATACCCCTAATTATCTCAACAGCCACTCCTCGGAAGGAAGGTTGGGCAATCCTACTTCCATAGTGATACTGCCTCGGAAACCCAAGGAGGGGTCGCTATGAGTCAGGGCTGACTCGATGGCACATAACAACAACAACAACAATTATCTCAAAAATTACCTTTTACAGTTGGTTTGAATCAGAATCCAAACAAAGTCTACACATTGCATTTGGCTCATGAATCTTCTAAATCTCTTTTAATCTATAATAATGTTCCCTCCAATTTGTTTTTCATACCATTTATTTGTTACACTAACCAGTTCATTTGTTCTGTAGATTTTCCCACATTTTGGATGTGTCTGATTGCTTTTTCATAGTGGTAATGTGTTTCTCTGTTCTCTGTTGTTGTTGTTGTTTTTAACCGCCATTGAGTTGGCCCCAACTCATGGCAACCCCATGCAAAATGTGAAAAAATGTTACCAGGTCCTACATAATCCCCATGACTGGCTGCAAATCACATCCTTTTGATCCATAGGGTTTTCATTTGCTGATTTTCAGAAGTAGAAAATCTATCTTAGTCTGAAAGCTATACTAACACCTGCCCACTGACAGTGGAGGTGCACTGGCCAAGAATAAAACCCTTGTCTCCTGCATGGAAGTCAAGAATTCTACTACTGAACCACCAACATCTCCTTACTCTCACCAATATGGTTAGATCTAGAGGCTGGATTAAATTCAGGTTCCTTTTTATGGGTGCA